CTGCTTCATCTAAACTGGGCTTCATCTGCCATATAGCATAAAAGGCTTTGTTTAGATTTGCACATACATGATTAATTTGTTTTTCCCAATTTAGGTTAGCGTCAAGATGAATACCCAGGAATTTTACTTCTGTGGACGTTTGCAAGTCATAAATTTCGATAACATTGTGGGGTCGCCATTTCCTGTAAAATTTCACGGCCACTGACGTCGAGGTGTTAAGGATTAGTTTATTTCTCTGACACCAGGAGCTGAAATCCTCGATAACGGTCTTTATGTTGGAAGCAAGTTGTTCAACAGTTGAACCCGATATGGTTATGATAGTATCATCGGCAAACATTGTAACATAACCCGTTGTTACATGTTGAGGCATGTCGTTAACATATAGGAGAAAGAGTAGTGGTCCGGTAACAGATCCTTGGGGGACACCAAGTTTTACAGCATGAGAATCAGAAAGTACATTATTACAAGAGACGTACACAGTTCGTCCCTTCATGTAGGAATTGATCCAATTTATGACGTTAGATGGGAAATTACATCGTCTTATTTTTTTCAAAAGAAATTCTACACAAACCGTATCAAATGCCTTCAATAGGTCAAAGAATGGTGATAAGACGTAGTTATTATTATCAATCTGAGTGTAAATGTAATCGAGAAGATGGTGGGAAGCTGTTTCAATGGATCTCTTTTTAACAAAACCGTGCTGAGAGGTTGAGAGTATGTTGTTGCTTTCCAGGTAATCGGTTATTCTGTTTACTATTATCTTTTCTATTAATTTGGATAAGGAACAGAGCAGCGATATTTGCCTGTAATTGTCAATTTCATCTAAATTACCTTTTTTGTGGAGAGAAATCACAAGTGCCTTTTCTAAAACATCAGGAAAGATTCTTTGCACGCGAGATTGTTCTATAAAAAAAGTTAGTGGTTTAATAATAGCGGGAAATATGTGTTTGATAGTAATAATAGAAATTTCATCCATACCGGAGGATGATTTGATCGAAACATGCGAAACAAGAATCTTTTAATGCCGTTTCTCACTGTTCAAACTGGATTTTATTTAAATTGAACCCGAAAAATTGTGAGCACAGAAATGTGTAAATATTGTTAACGATGGCCACCAATAGAGGAGGCAGGGCCGGATCCCGGCTGCCAGTTTTTGGGGGGCGCCAGAAACGTCATCAAAATTAGTAACGGCTTCGAAATCAAAAACGGTAACGACTTACGAATTTGAGCATCATTCCTATTGAACATAAAAGGGCTGCTTCGATTTCTTTCGACAACATAATCAACAGTTTTGCAGCAAAGAAGGCTGAAAAGCTAAGAATTTAATGTTTAATTAATGTAGTACCACCTGAATGGGGTTAACCAAAGTGATATACACTGTCCGCCACTCGCGATGGAACACCCCATTTTTACGGTAAAACATATTAGGGGGCAAAATAGGCTCAAAATTCCTTCAGATTCGTGATCAGGACTACCAACTTACTACGATTAAACTTTTTTCCTGAAAAAAATTCAGTCCTGAAAAATCCGAATTTGTCTCACTTCTTATGAAAACACCCCCGTATCTTCCGTAATAATTGAAGTAGATTTTTTTTGGTTTTGCCATCAAAACATGAACGAAATTGTTTAAGAGAAACTCGACTTTTGTTTCCACATAAATAACTTATTTTTTATTTTGTTGTCAGGAAAGTTATTCCTTCTCAATAAGAGAGAAAATGGTAATTTTGTAAGAGGAACGGAAACATGTAATCAGTGAGGTTTTAGGATGGTTAATGTTTGTTCATATTCTCATTTTCCCATCAATAAAAAAAAAACAAGGATATTTTGTGGCAAAAAATGTTATGTAGTTCAAAATTCTTTCGAAGTACTACTTTCAAAATCACATTTTCACTTAAAAAACAAAACAATCAATTTCAAATGATTTAACTGTTGACAATTTTATATTTTCGTGCCTTCTATGAAATTTCCCTCCAATCCAACACATTTTTCTATGCACTTTCTATTATTTCCTCCAACTCTTCTCAGTTCTCTAGGTGTGATTTACACGCTTGTATAATTCTTGCACGGAGATCTTCCTTATTTGTTGACCTATCCTTATAAACTTCATTTTTCAAGTTTCCCCATGAATAAAAATCCAGTAGAGTTAAATCTGGGGATCGTGGTGGCCATACTACGAGAGGGCTATTGGGTCCTATCCATTTCATAGGTAGATTCCTATTCAACGAAACCCTTGTTATGCCACTATTGTGAACTGGTGAACCATCCAACTGAAAAATCATGCTGTGTCTCACATCCAAAGGTAGTTCTTCCAACACATCGGAAAATGCATAAAAATTTTGACAAATTATTATTTTTACCTGCATTAGAACTGCTGGGCCTAAGTACTTGTCTCCATTCCACCAGTAACTAGGGCAAGAAGTCGAACAGCAAGCACACAAAATACATTCGTACAAACCATCAAGCTTTTGTCTATCTTCAACACTTTGTAAATACTGTTGAACTTCGCCAACCTTTTTCTGATGATCGTCCCTGTAAATCAATTTTCAACTTATTTACTGAGTTGATTCATAATGGAAATCTCCAACTACTAAATGAAGGGAAACTTCTCGAGTATTCATACTCGTTTCTGAAGAAGCCATTCCAATCTGATCCAAATTTTGAAATCAGCAATCTTTTAAATTTCATTTATCTTTTATGTTGAGGTTTCAAATGTTAATACTTCATCTATTTCAGGTATTTGGATGAATCTCTCACAATTTTTGGTAAAGTACATGATAATTTAATAAATTCATGTTGAATTTCTCAACCTCTCCATCAATACTAAAAACGCTGTATGTATGAAATATTGAATTATTGTGAACGATGCCTCCCCGACTTTGCACGGTTAGCAACGCCGCCGACCGATAGCATCGTCATATTTCAATCACTTTACAAAACAATAATAAATTCTACATATAAACCTCCTTCTCGTACTATAAAGTTGTTCTTGAATGTCTATTGATAAATGATTAAACAACCATTCCAAGTATTGAATACTATTCATAGGTGTCTAATCTAATACCTCGCACAGACGAATTAGAACCTAGGAAATAGGTCACAAGTGAAAAATATATTGTGGAATTGCCTGTCGGGAAAAGAAGTAACCTTTGCTGAGCAGCTAGTGAATGGAAATTTTGGAAAATATCATTTGAGGATTACCTGGTTGCAACAGGGTAGCACGAAGCCGCCAATAATGTGAAATTATCTACCTTGATAAATATAATTGGACGAGATTCTGGACGTGTTATGTCTAAATTCATAATACCTGAAGCAGAGCAAAACAAATTAAATTGTACCATGAATCTGATAAACGAATATGTCAACCCCATAGTGAATGAATGCTCGAGAAAAGGACTCAGAAAGACGGATGATAGTCTGAACATTTTCTGACAGATTGCAGACACCTAATAATACAGTAGATCCTACTGACTGCGCCATGTTCAACGTGTGTGAAGTATGAATACTTCACATACCTACAAGTAGGTATGAATAATATTCAATACCTACTTGGAATGGTTGCCTAATTATTTAATAATAGATAAATATTACTGGAGTTTTTTTCAACATCAAATCGTTATTTTGGTAAATTTTCGTTTTGAGGACACCCGTCGATTTTGAAAAAATGTTTGCGTGTACCTACGTATTTTGATGCGTAGATTACAAATCCGAAAGAAAAAAGCGGCGNTGAAGCATGCTTTGATTTAATTTGATGAATGGATAAAACATCACTCCATCATTTCAGACCAGAATCAAAACGATCATTATCTAAGTCGACTGCACGTGGTGAAGCAACTCCAAAGTGTGCAAAGATGCAACAGTCGCCTGGCAAGGTTATGATAATCGTATTTTGGGATGCGCATGGTATAATATTCATCGAATATCTTGGAAAAAAAGAGTGCTGTTTCATCAAGGCAATGCACCCACAAATCATTGAAAACCATGGCAAAATTGCATGAATTATGCTTCGAATTGTTTCCGTATCCACCGTATCCTCCAGATCTGGCTCCCAGCAGCTGTTTCCTGTTCTCAGTGCCAATAAAGAGGTGACCGTCGAAATTGAGGCCTACTTTGAAGCTAAAGACAAATCGTACTATAAAATGGTACCTAAAAATTGTATGACCGCGCTTTTCAGCCCAACTGTTACAAATTGGAAGTTTCTAAAATATTTTTATGGGTAAAATTCTGTTATCTTTTCAAACTGTTGTATGATCGAGTTTGATCTTCCTCCTGAAGATGATCACTTGATGATGAAGAAACACGTGTCGAGGTGTTGAATGAACGATTTGGTGTTGGGAAAAAACTCCAGCAATATTCAAACTGTTGTTACATTGAAAATTGAATTCATTACGTTAAATATGAAAAAATTATTTACCACAATATCAGTTTTTCATTGAAAATTAAGGAAAATTCGAGAAATAAATATTTATTTGTCAGCGTATGAAATAAAATATAACAAAAAATGTATTATATGATTCAACAAAAATAACCATTTGCAAATATTATAAATAGTTGACATATTACTTTCACCAATAACCTGTTGAATCAAATTGCTTTAGTTGAATAAAGTTTATTATTATTACTAACGAGTAGCAGTGAAACATTTTATATACTTTTTCTAAAAGACTGTCTCAAATACGATTTCTGTATGTATGAACGTGCATATTCTCCATGATTTGGGGAATAGACACGAACCAAAGACAAATCGTTGGGGAATTAATTCTGTAGTGCATTCGTTTGAAGTCCGGGTTCTTCTTTCTTTGCTGCCCCACCCAACAATTTTTTAACTTCAGCAATAGCTCTTCCAGGATTCAGCCCCTGGAAAAGAGAACTTGTTAGTAATTTAGAATAAAAAAAAATTGACAATAAAGACCTTTGGGCATGTTCTGGTACAATTCATAATAGTGTGACACCTAAAAGCAGAAAAGGGATCTCTCATTTTGTCAAGTCTTTTTTCTGTTGCCTCATCTCTTGAATCAATTATCCATCTATACGCCTGCAAAAAAAATAAAAAAAAAACATCATTTTAACCAGAAACACCAACTTTTAAATCTCACAATAGAGTGTTTTTTGAATTGAATACGTAAGTTATGGATTTTCATCAAGTATCGGCCAATTCCATCATATAAAAAATATACAAAGGAAAGGTAAAACTATTGCAGCAGGCAGATATAAATATAGTTCAGAGAGCGGTGCCTGTACGGAAGTTGCTATTTATATGGGATTTATCTCTGTGAAACTACTCTGTAAGATTACTACAAAAAGACCATGAACTTGAAATGGAGTAAATGTTGAAAAGTATAGTCCTGGGTGTATATTGTTAACAATTAAAAAGGTAAAAGTGATGTAAGATCTGTGTCTATCGAATTATTGTTCATAAACTCTTGGTAACTATAATAGCACTTTCTAAGTAAAGAGATTTTAATTTTGTTGTGAAATACCTTATCATTGGTAATTTGTTTCAGCTAATTTGGTAACTTATTATGACAACTGATTACATTGTACCGTGGGGAGTTCTCATATAATGAGGCTCTGTGTTGTGGAATTCTCAAAAAAGCTCCATGCCGTGTATTATGTTCGTGTTCAGATCCATTTTTCGCAGAAAACGATAAGTTATGTCTTGCGAACATAGCACATTTAAAAATATAAATGGATATGAGGGTTAAAATCTGTTTTTAAATAAAAATAGGCCGGCAACTATCTCTGAAATTCTCTGAGTCACAAAAACTCTATTTAAGTATCTTGCTCTTCTCCAAGCCATGATATTTAAACTCAGCTAAGAGTGAACCATTGCGTAATAAATATTTAGGAGGCCTGCTTTATCTGCCATATAGCATAAAAGGCTGTGTTTAGATTTGCACATACATGATTAATTTGTTTATCCCAATTTAGGTTAGCGTCAAGATGAATACCCAGGAATTTTACTTCTGTGGACGTTTGCAAGTCATAAATTTCGATAACGTTGTGGGGTCGCCATTTCCTGTAAAATTTCACGGCCACTGACTTCGGGGTGTTAAGGATTAGTTTATTTCTCTGACACCAGGAGCTGAAATCCTCGATAACGGTCTTTATGTTGGAAGCAACATACACGAATCAACTACATAACTTTTTTCTCCACAAAATATCCTTGTTTTTTTTTAATAATGGGAAAATGAGAATATGAACAAACATTAACCATCCTAAAACCTCACTGATTACATGTTTCCGTTCCTCTTACAAAATTACCATTTTCTCTCTTATTGAAGCCAGTAATACCTTTTTCGTTGGAATCTTTTCGAGTATTTCCAAAAATCGGTTTGCAAAACCACTCACTACCTCACCTAACCCCACGAACACACGGCACTGATAAAGAAATATTGTGAAACGGACAAAAAATTAGTATTCAGCCAGTCCAGCTAGCCGAGCCTTTATTCCTCAACTACATTTGATAGCACGTTTACTAACCAACTGGGCGACTAGGAACCATAGGCAAGAAATGTTTATGACTGTACTCTTATTTTTATTGCCGTTCCAATTGGGAATAGATAGACTATACTGTTGGTTGGTAAACAGGTGAATCGGCGTCACCTGACACGGCCACTTCACAGCAAATGCGATAACATGAAAATACTCAACTGGCAAGAGATGTCAAAATGTGTTTTTACAGAAATATTAAATTTATCTATTCTATAATGGAACCGGGACAATTGGACAAAAAACTTTGTATGATATTTGTGTTGAAAGTAAGTTTTATTTTGTTCGTGTTACGTTTTCACTCACAAAATAAAAGCTTACTTTTAACACTCATATCATAAATGGCTATTTTAGTTAAACTTTTGAATAACTAAATTGATTGTAGTGACTTGTTAAGACAAACTCAGTTTCTTGTACCCAGATCACAATCCAGGCATATGATTAATTTCTATGATAAAAATCCTAGAACAAATTTATTGAAAAAGTCGCCTATATTTGCAATGTGTGAGTTGTTCAATAAAGTGTCCGACCTGTGCGATATACATCATGACAGCAAACATTTTATTTTAAGAACTATTAATAATTCAATGTGATGATTGGTTTCCTTTTTCTTTTTGTAATCTGAATCTATTTTTTCACTTATATATACTCTCCAATTATTTGTATTTTGTCTATTTGTGGGTGTAAACCTGTTGAAAATAAACATATTATTCATGTATGATATTTCTCAAGGAATAGTACAATAAATTTTCCAATCGCTTTTCAATTTCGTAAGTGTTCTGAAATTATTCATTATAAAACCATTGTTGTAATTTGTTTCAGAAGCATCTTCTTCAGGCAACTATTACAATGTTCCCATATATAATACCTTCACTGTTTCAACACGTCATAAATTTTATGTCTAGTCAGCAATTATGTGGGATTTCCCGGTACATAATCTGATCAAATGATCTTTCAAATGCAACGTCTGATAAACGTGTTTATTCTTTTGTGCTCCTTACTTTGGCAAAATAATCCCCAACTCCATAAAATATAATGCCAATTCAATGAATTTTAGAATCACGCCAAAGGTGACTATCAAGGTTCATCTGCCCGATACTGACGATGTCTAATGGGCTGAAACAGCTGTCTATCGGTGGCTCTTAGACTGAAATCAATATGGGAGTGATCAGAATAGTACTTTACTATTATAATAGTTTGTTTCGAGATCTGACCGAAATTCCATTCTCAACTGTACGTAAAATAGTCAAAAACAAACCTTATGAACGCACGACGCGATGTGATACAGGATTACCAAAACCTTTAGATGTTTAACTAAAAAAAATCATTTAAAAAACAATATACGACTGTTACAAAAGCAATGAGATTCCTACAACTGAAATCATAAGGAAGAAATTGAATACTTCCGGCTATAACGTGAGCTGCTGTGACAAAACTCTTCAGAATTGGATAAAGAAACTAGGATTTAGATTTAAAATAGTAAACAAACGTCAAGCAGTTATGTAAAGTAGAAGAATAGTGGAATTGCGTAACAAATATTTAGAACAAATAACTAAATATAGATAAGAACAACGGCAAATTTTCTATTTGGACGAAACTTGGTATGACACTCACGACAGTTACGAAACGGTGGAGTGATGGTTCAAAAATGTGTACGCCTAACATGTCTACGCGACTAATCATTGTGCATTGCGAAGGAAATAAAGAATGGGTTCCGAATTCTTTGAAATTATGTGGAAAAAACTTGAGGACTGCAATGATGACTATCATAAGAACATGGAAGCTAATATTTTCGAGAAATGGTTTAAAAACACATTGATCCCAAATTTGGATGCGAATAGTGTAATCGTTCTTGAAAACGCTTCCTATCATTCGCGACAGCTCATCAAAGTACCGAATAAAAACTCGAGGAAAGATGAAATACAAAGTTTTTTAATGGATAACAATTTGTATTTTGAAGAATTACTATACCAAAAACCAACTACTTGGAGTTTAACAATCAAAAACATTTGAAAAAGTGTATGCCTTTGAGAGTATTGCTGAAAAGTATGGAAACACCATACTGAGACTTCCTCCCTATTTTTGTGTTTTCAATCCTATCGAATTTATTTTGGGAAGACTGAATCAAAGCATCAGGCGTAAAAATAATTTTCCAAAATTTGATAAGAAGGTAATAAAGCTAATTAAAGAAGAAGTATATAATATTACTGAAGAAGACTGACAGAAAAGTATTAAAGAAGTAATTTCAGCTAAAAAAGACTATATGGAGATTCTACACTTCTATATTAAAGGTGGAAATAAATTCATTACTGATATAAATGACGGAAGTAATAGTGAAACAGAGAATATGGAAGAGGAATTATCAGAAGCTTTTAAAGAAAGTTAGTGAAGTATTTTTATAGGTTGCACTATACCGTTCACTTGAACTATACGCTACTATTGAACCAAATTCATATTTTTTAACAAACCTCGTATACAACAAAAACATTTTGATAACAATTGGATGCATTTTAGGTTTTTGTCATTGTCATTTTGTCCTAATAAAAAAGTTTTCCATGAGGTTCGAAATTACAAGAACATAATCTATTCGATCATGACCGGATTTTGTTCTCTTCAATTATTACTTAGACATACTGTACATTTCTATTTCGACATTTTCAATGTTTTCTTAATAATACTCAAGAAAAAATAATGATGCATTAATGGTTTTCTGTAAGCAGTTAGTTCTTTTTTTTGTCAAGCTCATCTACTATCGGCAGGTAACGTTACGAATTCCTTGTACCACATCAGGAGCAATACGAATTTCAAATGAAGAACTAACAATATGACATTCGACGATTGCTCGAGAAGGGCTTCGTTTATTAAAAAACACGCTCGTCAAATTTTTTCTCAGGCAGATATTTTTTTCTCTCCGAGTTCGAGTGTCCAACAGTCCAACTATACCTACAAGTGACAGTACTGACAGTAAGTACTTCGAAATTCTACTAAAGCACGTGTATCTGTTTAAAGTGCGCGTGCGTCCCAAAATTGACGTTTTAGATGTTTGTTTTTGGTCTACTGAGTTGTAGAACAGTGATAAATTTCAGGCAGATATAATCTTAGTGATACAGTGCCTTCTTTACGACAAGTTACACTAATTGAAATTGAATATATATGTGAATTCAGACAAACCTTGAATTTATTGAAAATGAATCTAGACTCACCTCTGATGGGAAAGGGTTTAGTCTGGACTGTTTCAGTGTTGGGTGGTAATAACCTCTTCGTTTCTGGAGACATGACACTCGGGCATGATTTAACTTCGTTAATTTTTTGGTTGATATTTTTAAATTGTCCGGTTCCATTGCAATTTCCGTGCCGCACTCTTAGAGACCCGGTTAAAACATCTACTCCACTACTCATTTTTAGTTTATTGGCACAAAACGTTAACGGAGCGGTCAGATCAAGAGCACGTCCAACTTACTCACTACCCGAATCACGGTAGTCAAATAAACTATTCGCAAGTTCCAAATAAATTATTCCCAATGGCAACACCGGCTGCGACTG